TTGAGAGAGAGAAACACTGATGTGAGAGAGACACATTGTTGCCTCTTCTTGTTCTCCCACATGTGCCCCAACCAGGGCCAGGGATCGAACCTGAAACCCAGTACATGCCCTTGACCAGGAATCCAACCCTCGACCCTTCCGTGCACAGGCGGTTGTTCTAACCAATGAAACACACCAACCAGAGCTGGAATGATTCTTTAGAAAAAGAGATTGGAACCAATTTTGGAATACCTGCAACACTGAGCCAAGAAATTTAAAGTTTATATCTGAGAGAGTAGGCATTCAAAGGGATCTATAGAAAATACAAATACCACAACATATTAAGTATCTGTGTGTGACAAACTCTTATTTTCTATTTTATTTCTTTTTTAAAACATACAGGTCACAATTCACTAAACTGATTTTATAATCTACTGGTAGGTGCCTATGTTTGTGCCTGCTGTTTGAAAAATACTCCTTTAGCCCTGGCCGGTTTGGCTCGGCGGTTAGAGCGTCGACCTGTGGTGCTGAGAGACCCGGGTTCGGTTCCCGCTAAGGGCGCGGACCTCGGTTGCAGTTTGTCTCCGGCCCTGGTTGGTCGTGCGGGTGGCAGCCACTCGATGTGTTCCTTTCACATCGATGTTTCTCTCTCTCTCTCTGTTCCTCTCTCTCCCTCCCACTCTACCTGAACAAAAAAATGGGAAAATGTCCTCGGGTGAGGATAAAAAAAAAAAAGAAAGAAAAATACTCCTTTAGTATACAACACTCTCACACTTCTTAGCCTTTCCACGTATTCTTTGTGCCTGAAACACTCTGGCTCATCCTCATTCTTCCCTTTTACCTGGCTACTTCATATTCTACTTTGTGATCTTAGCTCTAACATATCACTCCCCTAGCCCTTAAGTTAACTATTTCCCCCTCTTCTGAGGTCCCAAAGTACTAGATGTTTTCTAACATTTACTATGCGTTATGTACTTGTACTTGTCTTTCTAGGCTGTAAACTCCACGAGAGCAAGGAGTTTGTCCAATGATGAATTCTGAGGGCCTAACCTAGTGCCTATTACATATTAGACACTCAACACATATTGGAGGAATAAAACAAGGAAATGGACTTGAATACTCTATATCTTTAACCATACAATGAAATGATCACCCACTTAAAAATTGTTTAGTTATTTCCAAGGAATACATGTTCTTAGTTCCAATTTTATAAATGGTGATTAAGTTCCTAAGCTAGTCTACAAAACACTCTTACCCACAATACACTTTGTTAATGAGAGATGGCAACTTCTTTTCCTCTCTGCAATGACAACAGCACTCAGGACTGAAGGAATACTTTCTTTCTCTCCACCCTAACAGTGATTGCTACTACAGGAAAGTGATTTATCCAGTGGCTAAAATAGTGCTAAAGGTCAATATTGCAGATAAGCCCTACCCCTGAACTTTCACTGGCTCTCTTAGATTTGCATGCCTTCAAGGTGAGAAAGTTTCCCCTTCCATTCCAACACCTATGAGATCAATTCCCTGAGACAGGACTTAACCTCCCTGAAGGAGGAGACCTGCAGTTTTTGGGGTGCTACAGTTTTGACTGGGTAAGTAAATTAAGAAAGAACAGATTAAGCACGAGTCTAAGCTAAATTCTCCAATCCAGCTTTATCAGAAATGACAACGGAACTTTAATCCTCATCTGGTTTCTTGAATTTGATCACAATTTGACCAGACTCTGGAGAGGAGGGGTGTAATTAACACTGAAAACCTCCCACATGAACAACAGTAATCCCAGTCTGATTCTGGGTCCTAGAAGAGTAGGCAGGGAGGAACAAACTGGAGCAAATGAAATGGAATGAAAGACAAAAAGTTTTCTTCCACTTTTCCTATTTAGAATTTTCCTTGGATAAAAATGTCTGAATATGTTGGATCTGCCTTTATATCCTACAACCGTCCCTTTCAAATTGTGTCTCATTCATGCTTTTCTTTTCTCATCTTCCAGACCCCTTATGCTGTACAAAGATCTCCATTTTCAACACCCACACTTTTAGAAACAGAGCAAGTTTCACCCAGACCTCTAAAATGTTCCATGATCCCATACTACTTACCTCCCTTAAACCCCCTGAAATCAAAACTCTCATTTCCTCAGTGCAGCTGATCAGGGGGAAAGCAATCTGATTAATATTAGATAAACTATCTGATGGACAGTCCTAGACTTTTAACTCTACTAAACTAGTTAGATAGATAGATAGATAGATAGATAGATAGATAGATAGATGATAGATTTTTATTTTTTTTTCAATCTATAGAAATCTAACTACAGTAATTTCAGAGAGAGGATGAGGAGGGCCTAGATGTTTCTCATAAAGGAGGTAGGTCTGCTCTGACTAGCATTTTCCAGGGATCATGTCCCAAAAGTTGTTCCCACTGCCCTCTCCAGGAGGCAGAAATGGCCAACTGGAGAAAAGATTTGTAACTACAGGATATTTCTATATCCCTTGGGTAAATCAGTAACAATATTAGATTGGCTAGGTTATATTTTCAGTGTTTGACAATCATGCCATTAGCTAAAACAAACAAACAAAAAAACACACTCAGGTTATATTTTGAAATTACTAGCCTTATTCTATGAATGGAGTCAATGAGGCATAAATGGGTTAAATGTTTCCACTGTGTTGCAATGTGGTAGTTGAAGCACAGGATTGGACTACTCTTCACACACTTGTTTTTATCTATTTATCTTCAGATAAAGTGGGAGGGAGAGAGAGGGAGAGAAAGGAAGAGAGAGAAACATGGACATGAGAGGGACACATCGACTGGTTGCCTTCCGCACGACCCCAACCAGGGCCGGGGTTGAATTGCAACCGAGGTACGTGCCCTTGACTAGAATCGAACCTGTGACTCTTTGGTCCGCGGGCTGATGCTCTAACCACTGAGCAAAATCGTCCAGGGCTTCACCCACTTTTAATAAGTTGCTTAATCATTATTTCCACTTGGAAATCTTTGATTTTATTTTCTGTAACATTTCTAAAATTTGGTAGTATACTTTTGAGCAGTCATATTAGAATAATAGAAAAATGGGTTGAATTCCTGGTTATTCCAAGTGTCATGTCTTTTTCAGTGGTTTTTGCTATGAAAGACCTGAAGCTACTGCCGAATTTGTGTGCACTCAGAAATTAACCATGAAATAAGCATAGCAGCCTTCATTCAGCTGTAAGTGGCTCTTAATTTCAGTGCCATCAAAAATATTTATTTGCCACCCACATGTAAATATAATTATAATAGACTACACAAACCTAGAAAAATAGGATCTTCCACTTTGCCTGAGAAGCATGTGAAATTTTAATGAGTAATAGGTGTTTATTAATTTTTATTAGTTTGTTTAGCTAGCCACCAAAATAAATTATTTGTAATTAAAGTGAAAACTGGAATTTTTTTCAAGCTAAGCATCGAATATATGAAAATACCAACTATGTGTGGTCTCTCTTGACTCTGATCATGAACAACACCTTTTGAAGCTTCACTCAAAATACCAGAAATGGCAAAGGAACAATAAGATGGCCAAGAATTGACAGGATATTCTGAAAGACTTCAGTGGTACTTAGTTAACTTTCCCCAGTAGAAGCATTATGTTGCTTATAGCAGGTTGGTTGTCTTTATTAGTCAGTGCTAGCCCCTACTCAATTTTTTTTTCTATAAATGAACATTATAATTCAACAATAAAAAATAATAACCCAATTAAAATATGGGCAAAAGATCTGAATATACATTTCTCCAAAGAAGATATATAAATGAACAATAAACACAGGAAAATATGCTCAACATGATTAGTCATCAGAGAAATGCAAATTAATAGTACTTCACACCCACTAGGATGACTATAATGAAAATCAGCCAATAGACAATAACAAGTGTTGTTGAGGATGTGTAGAAACTGATCCCTCGTACACTGATTGGTGGGAATGTAAAATGTAACTGATACTTTGGAAAAGTTGGCAATTCCTCGAAAGTTAAACATTTATGTATACCCAAGAGAAATGAAAGCATATGTCCACAGTAAAACATCCGCAAATGTTCATAGTAGCATTATTCACAATGGTCAAAAAAGTGGAAACATCCTTAATGTCCATCAATTGGTGAAGGGATAAGCAAAATGTGATACTGTGGTACACCAATACAACGGAGTATTATCCAGACATAAAAAGACTAAAGTACTGATACATGATACAACATGGATGAAGCTGCAAAACATTATTCTATGTCAAAGAAGCCAGTCCCAAAAAGCCACATATTTGATTCCACGTCTATGAAACTTCCAGAATTGGGAAATCCACAGAAACAGAAAGTAACTTAGGGGTTGCCAAGGGGTGGAAGTAAGAGGGTATTGGGAGTGACTACAAATGGTTTCATCTTGAGGTGATGAAAATATTTTGGATACTGGTGATAACTGCGGAACTTTGTGACTATACTAAAAGCCACATTTCAAAAGGATGAATGTTACAGTATGTGAAATATATCTCAATTTTTTAAACTGTTCAATTACAGAGATTACATATGTATGTAATATGCATGTAAATGTAATATAGTTAACACATAGGGATATGTGATCTCTTTCTCCAAATGAATACTTTGGGGTTTTTTTTACTAAGATACACTTCACATATATAAAGAAAAGAATGAAGGAGCACGGCGCCTCGGAGCAAAAGCCTGAAGCAGTGGATCTGGAGGGTGCCCGAGCCTGCCAGCAGCATCTCCACCCATGCTCACCTTCCACCCATCACTCAGCCGCCACTCGCTGTCTGGCCCGGGGTCCTGCCCCGGACGACCCACCGCGGCAGCGGGTCCGCCGCCGGCGCCCCGAGCCAGCCTGCCTCCCGCCCGAGATGGGGCAGCACAGCGGGCCGGGCTCCGGCGTCGGCGTCGCCCGGGAGCCGGCAGCGGGCACCGAGGCTCCGACGGGCCCCGCCGCGCAGCCGCTCCCCGCGCCCCGGCCCAGGGTCCCGAGCCCGGGTCCCGCCCCCTCCCTCCGGTACCTGGGATGCGCCCGAGCCCGGCGCCGCGGCCGCAGCCGAGACTTCCCCTCCATTACCACCTGCCACGAGCGCGGCGGCTGCCGGAGTGGAGAGGGGACCCCGCCTCCTCAGACCCGGCCAGGCACCTGGGGCGGGGGATGGATGGGCATTCACCTAGTCCCCGCGGCGGCGGCGGCTGTCCCGGCCGCGGCTCCTCCCTGCGCCCGCCTGCTCGCGCCCCGCGGCCCAGCGCTGACAGCCGGGAGCCGGCGCCCGCGGCCCATTTGCTCCCGGCCTCCCGCCCCGCCCCTGCACAGCCGCCCGGCGCAGGCGCAGGCGCGCCGCCCGGGGCTCGGGGCGAAGGGGTGCGGGGAGCGGAGCCTGCTGATGTGGCCGCCGGGGCGGCGACCTGGAGCGCGAGCGCTGCCACCTCCCGGACCCTCGGCCGCGCCCTGAAAGACGCCGACGGGGGCGCCGGGCGCCCAGAGGAAGGGGAACTTTCCAGGGGAGAAGCGCTGTGGCCTCGCTGTGGCCTCGCTGTGGCAGTTACTCCATCCCCACCTACCCACGCACGGCCCCATCGCCGAGCGCTCCTCGGTCTGAGCCCCCAAGGCTATGACTCATGTCCCGTGTTCTCAGACCAAGGGTTAGCAGGGTTCATTTGTCCTTCTCGCAGACTGAGATCTAAACCGAGGCACACGGAACGTGGATGCCTTTTCGCAGAGCAGCGCACAAGGGGCCGTGCCGGAGCCCAGAAGGAGAGAAGGGGATGGACCCCTGAGAGGGCAGATTCTGGGCAGCTCCTGGCATCCTCCAGGGGGGAGAGAAAGTGCAAGCTAAGTGCACGCGTGCCGTGGAGGTGGCTTGGATGCCAGACTTTTCAAGTTGGCCCACACTTGTTTTTAACTCTAAGTAAATGTGAGCCAAAGTTTGCAATGTGAAACCAATAACTCGTTTAGTTTATTTAACTATTTGTTGAACACCTTTTATATATGATTCAGGTAATGGGCTACGCCCCCGTGGGATATTCCAGTGAGCACAAAGTTGTCGGTCCTCAGGTACTTATTCTAAGGGACACACTGTCACTTTAAAGATTACACAGCCAAGGACACCCTTTTCCTCAAATTAAATCTACCACCAACTCAGTCATACCAGTGATTTAGCAGCAGCTTTTCAGGTGCTAAAGGACACCAGAGCATACATTTATCTAGTTCTTTCTTCTGCTTGTCTATCAGACTGGGTTTGGACCTTTATCTTCAGGGTAAAAGGTGCTTCTGTATGTCTTGGCCATCTGTAGTCTTGCCTTTTTAAATGGCCCGTAGGGGGAAAAAAATGAATAAATATATAAAATGGCTCACACAGGTGTTCCTCATCCCCTAAACACAATGAAGAATAAAAGTATAATTGCAAGGAATATAGAAAAAACGGTTTTGACTGTATTTACAGTGGTTTTATTCTTATGGTTTTTAATTACAGCGCATTCAAAGGTAATTAGCTGTTCTTGAAAGTTTGCCAGAAGTAAAGTTCCAACCAAATAAATGTTTCTCCAGTGGGTCATGCAGTCTTTCAAGATTTCTGAACTGAGTATACATAGGAGAGGCCATCCTCTCCGGGTTCCAAAAATTCTACCACCAGGCCCCTCCCCTCGGGAGTTCACCAGAGCCTTTCCCAGACCCCTCTTCTTCCCCCCAGGCACCTTACCTTCCCCTTTCCCTCACCTGCGCTCCAAGGGCCCTTCTTTTGCTTCTGTAACTTGTTTCCTGAGCCTACACAGCCCAGCTGGCTCACTTCCACTACTCTGTAACATTCTAAATAAACTTTCTCTTATAATTTAAAAAAGACAAAGAAAATTCTACCACTGTTTTTTCTGAGACAGCCGATGATTTCAACTGCCCTAAATTTCATTAGTTGGCATGTGGTGGGCAACCTTCTACTTATGCAGTGCTCTTCATTCTGTATGCTACAGTATAGAGTGTATTTTTTAGGTATTTTAAGATTCAAGTTGGAATCTAAATTTAAATTACATTTCGACCCTGAAAATAGCTCAAGATGGCAGCAGATGAAGAGATACCGCCTTCTGAAAAAGTAGGCCCTAACGTGTTCAGGCAACGACCACGTCATTACTTCAGCTTCTGCCTGACCACTGACAATTTAAAATGCAAAGTAAGTGGTTTAGAACTGAGGATACATGTGAATTACTGTTGTGATCATTGCTAAGCCAAAACCTGGGAGTTATGAGACTGTGAAACAAAGGGACCTGTCTGCTCTACAGGGTAAGAAAGAGGAAGTGACATTTAATCTGAGCCTTGGAAAATGAAAAGAAGTATATCTAGGCCACTGAGGGAGGGGAGTCGGGGTGGAGAGTGTACTCCAGGTTTGAAGGCCCTTTGGTAGGAAGCAGCTCCACCTGTTGGGGGTAGGGGGGTGTCACCGGAATGAGATGGACAGTTCTGCAGTAGAGGTGGGCAGGCACCTGGAGGGCCATGCTTACGCCTCGGGTTTGAATCCTAAAGACAAAAGGAAGCCACTGAAGAGTTGGAGAGGGTCCATCTGGATCAGATTTGTATTTGTAAAAGACTTTTCTGGCCCTGGCCGGTTTGGCTCAGCAGTTAGAGCGTCGGCCTGCGGTCCAGAGAGACCCGGGTTCGGTTCCTGCTAAGGGCACGTACCTCAGTTGCAGTTTGTCCCTGACCCTGGTTGGTCATGCGGGTGGCAGCCACCCGATGTGTCCCTTTCACATCGATGTTTCCCTCTCTCTCCCTCCCACTCTGTCTGAACAAAAAATGGAAAAATGTCCTCAGGTGAGGATTAAAAAAAAAGACATTTCTGACTGCAGTATGGGGAATGAGTAACAAGGAATCAACACAGGATGTGTGAAGACCAGTCTGCAGGCAATGGAGATTGGGAGAAGATGGTGGATTGAAAAATTAGGTCAAGGTTATAACTGTAAGGACATGATTTTTTACTACATGTAAGAGAAAAGTGACCAAAAAAATGACTCTCAGCTTTTTACTTTGAACTTGTAAAAAATAATATAAACAGAGCCACTTTAAAATGGATTCACTGCCATCCCAGAAAATGTTTTACAGGTCTCACTCCTCAAAGCTTTGGAATGTTAAAACTGGGCAAATAAACAACTGGTTTTTGTTTTGTGTGTGTGTGTATTTGGTACGTGCCCCTAGCGGGAACCAAACCCGGGACTCTCTGGTCTGAAGGCCGACCCTCCAACCGCTGAGCCAAACCGGCCAGGTCTAAACAACTGTTTATTGTGACTAGGACTGAAAATTGAAGAGATTCTTTGAAATTCGTATCACTCCGTTAGCTTCTCTGCACCTATAGAAATCCCTTCGTTCTGTTCAGGTAATTATTCCCCTTCCTATTCTCATAAATACCCCTTGCCTTTACCTCCTAATTGGACTACTCTTTGGGTTTCAGCCAAAATCAGTTCTTTTGGAATAGTTATTCTTTGGATCTGAAAAAATGCCATTGCTTCTCACTTTGGCCTTTTGTTTTTAGATTAACAGTATGAATATATAGATAGGTGTATATCCCATATAGTGATAACTACTTGTGGAAATAAAACTGGGATGGAGAGTCTGGGGTCAGGGTCAGGTGGTGGGGTATAAAGAAGACAGAGACTGAAGACTTCCAGGTCAAGATGGCAGGTAGGTAAACACAGTACTCACCTCCTCCCACAATCACATCAAAATTATAACTAAACTACAGAACAATCATCATTCAAAACCACCTGAAATCGAGCTGAATGAAAGTCCTACAACAAAATTAAATAAGCCACATTGACACTGGTAGGAGGGGCGGAGGCACAGAGGGGCTGGTCCCACACCCACGTGTGGTGGGAAAAAATCAGGAGGGACACCTCAGCTGGGAAGGTCCTCCCTGAGGAGTGAGGGTCCCCATCCCACACCAGGCACCCAGCTCAGGGTTCCAGTGCCAGGAAGAGACTCCCCATAACTTCTGGCTGGAAAAACCAGCAGGAACTGAGGCTGAGGCTGCTAGAGCCCCAGGCAGCTCCTCTTAAAGGGCCCGTGCACGGACTTGCTCAGACTTGCTCCCTCTGAGCTCAAGCATAGGGAAGGCAGCTCAAAAGGCACCAGACACATATGGGGAAGAATTAAGTTGTTTGGCATCAGGGCGGGGGCTGGAAAGGCAGTTTTCTCTTGGACAAATGTGCTGGAGGAGGCCTTTGTTCCTTTGGTGAACACTTCCCCCACAAGGCTGGTAAATGGCCACCATATCTGGGACTCCCGCAACCTGGCTCACACTGTTCTCCCCACCCTGGTGATTCCCCGAGGCCCTGCCCCACCCAACTTTCAGGCCCACCCAAGCTGTTGCCAGTTGTTTTACCATAGGATTGGCCTGTCTTGGATCCTGCTTCAGGTTTTCCTAAATTCTTTCAAACAAGAAGCATCTAGTCTCAGCTAGCCCCATACCTCTCATTAATTAATACATAGAAACAAACACAGGGAGGCAGTCAAATGAAGAGACATAGAAATAGGTCCCGCCCTGGCCAGTTTGGCTCAGCGGTTAGAGCGTCGGCCTGCGGTCCAGAGAGACCCGGGTTCGGTTCCCGCTAAGGGCACGTACCTCGGTTGCAGTTTGTCCCCGGTCCTGGTTGGTCGTGCGGGTGGCAGCCACTCGATGTGTCCCTTCACGTCGATGTTTCTCTCTCTCTCTCCCTTTCTCTCTCTTCCTCCCACTCTATCTGTACAAAAAATGGAAAAATATCCTCGGGTGAGGATAAAAAAAAAAAAAAAAAAAGAAATAGGTCCCAAATGAAAGAACAGAGCAAAACTCAAGGAAAAGAACTAAACAAAATGGAGATAAGAAATCTAACAGATGCAGAGTTCAAAACACTGCTTATAAGGATGCTTAATGAACTTAGTGAGAACCTCAGCAAATTTAGTAAGGGCCTCAAGAGCATAAAAAAGGACCAATCAGAAATAAAGGATGCACAGTCAGAAATGAAGGAGGCACTAACTGAATAAAGAATAATTTACACAGATTCAATAGCAGAGTAGGTAAAGCCAAGAAGCAAACCATCAATTTGGAATATAAGGTTGCAGTTTGTCCCCAGCCCTGGTTGGGGTTGTGCAGATGGCAGCCACTTGATATGTCCCTTTCACGTCGATATTTCTCTCTCTCTCTCCCTCCCACTTTATCTGGACAAAAA